ATAGGCAAAGAAATGCATTTTAGAAAGGAAGGAAGATAGCATCAATGACAGTGATATACAGGGAAGACATGAAAAAATCAGAGCTTACTATGCTGGTATTTAGGGAAAAAGAATTCCAGGATAAGAGAAGAATAAGTTCAAAGGCCTCCAAGGCAGGTATCATGTCTACTATGTGAGAAGTAACAAATGCCATTTGCATTGGTAAGAGAGAGAGCTATTTACTATGCTTTGTTATTATTGTTGTTTGAGACGGGGTCTTGCTCTGTAGTTCAGGCTATCCTTGAGATCATATGTAGCCCAAGCTGGCCTCGGACTCCCAGCAATCCTCTTTCCTCAGCCTCCTGAGTGCTGGGATTACAGAAGAGTGCTGCTATGCCTGGCTTCCTCTCCCCAACCAATTTACAGGGAAGTAAACTCAGGACCTTGTGCTTGCCAGGCAGGCGGGGCGCCACTAAACTACATCCCTGGCCCTGTTTACTGTTATATCACTTCTTACTTTTTAATTTTGAGAGAAGCTCTCAAACTTTTGAACCTTCTGTCCCAGTCTCCTGACTAGCTGAGATCACAGGCACTTGCCAGTGCACCCAACTTATCCCTAATTTTTAAATAAAAACCAAGTAGTCAAGCACTGAATTCATGTTTTTGAATTATTATAAGCACTTCTCAGATTAATCCAGTTCTACGCTTAACTGTGGTAGAGTTTACATTCTTTTAAAAGAAGATACACAGAATGTTGTATTTAAAGAGGGGAGGGGAGAAGAAGCTTTAGGCATGATCACAGACTAAGAATGTCCAATATATAAACAAAGTAAGCCTTGATATTTTTCAAAAAAATATCAGTTTCTTACACTTTACACTTTTAAAAGACTTTTAACTAGGCAGAGGTACGTTTCCTAATGAATTTTAATCAAATTGTTGCCAGGTCTCCTCTTCCTACACTGTACTTCAGCTTACTATCATTAGCAACAGCTACATCTACCTGTGCATATTTTTAAAATACAAAAACAAAGAAAGGTTATAGAGAAAACACTAAGCCACTGCATTTTCAAAGATGAGTTATATTTCTAATGTTAAAGGTTTATGTATCACAATGTTTTAAATTATAAAATATTTTTGGCATAAGCCAAATTAAAGAGTGGCTACAAAGAAAAAAAGATGTTCATAGTCTCAAAACATGATTTTATTACTCCCTTTGGTGACACAGTTCAAAACACAAATCTACTTTCTAACTATATCATCCACAAAGTAAAAACTATCAAAAATAGTCAAAACAGTATTCATGATTCTCTTTATAAAGGGCATTTTCTTGGTGGAATTACTCATCGTATATTAGTCTCTTTTTCCCTTTTTATTTACATTTTTTAATATTTATAAAATAAAGATATAATTTTCCTAAAAGTCTTTAGATGTATGAAAATTCTTTCAATTTTTACTATTTGTTGCTTCTATAATTAAAAAAAACTTACTGAATTGCCAAAATCAAATCAAAACAATCCTAGATCTTAATATATAAGCATTGCTTGACTTTTTAAGGATAATGCGGAGTAGCATTTAGTAACTAAAATAGATTTAATTATTAGTTACTTTTTTTTTTTTTTTTTTTTTTTTTTTTTTT